GTTAAAGATTACATTTCTTCATTCTTCCAGTTTCGTCCACACTGGGACAACAAAAGTAGCATTCTTGACAAAAACCATTGTCATCGAGGTAGTGTCGTTCGGGGCACTCGGTGCCGCATTTACGATTTTGAGATGGGGTGCACTGCTGGATGACGTTAGTTAACCCACAGTCATGGCAGGACCTGCAACTCTCAATGCCATGTTTGTCTGAATATGTCTTGTTCTGTTGGCACGGTTCGCATTTAATAGTGGTGTAGTTAGTGATCTTGGTACCACATTGGGGTACGAGTCCTAATCCTAGCGGGCATTCAGGGCACGCTTTACACTCCATTTCAGCCCCTGGATCATCTGGGTAATATATCAGGAAGTTTCGCACCAGAGAACATCTTATGGGACCCCCGATTACAAATTGTGACCACAAGACCATTACCAGGATTACCTGAAATAAGGGAGGAAGAACACTATGAGAAACAAAATTAAGAGACTACGCCATTATACGCGGCATATAATTACCTTTTGCCTCGAGTCGTAAAACATTTTGGAAAAAATTTTATCTACATTTGATTTAGATAAATATCGGTCGCTGGTACAGACCTCACTGCGTTCGGTCTGTACTGGCGACCTCGGTCGAGATTCTCCCATACAGCCCTCCCGCTCGGTTAATAAGAACTAAATAATCCCCTCGACTTCGTCTCGGGGATTATTCGACGATATTCACCTCGCCTTCGGCGAATAATTGTTAAATAGAGGGAGTCAGTGAATGGTCATCATTGACACAAAGAAAACTGAAGAAAGATAACTGAGATCGCATTAAACATTTCACCAGGAATCATGATAAAGATATTTTTATTTCGCACACGATTTTAGGCGTTAGGGAGCAAAAAGTTTGGATCACCAAGAAGGAAGTAAAACTGAATAAATCAGCATTGATTCACTCAAAAAGCGAACGAAAAACGACATCTCTCATTCCGAACAATATCTATACTTGAGAGATGTTTCAGTGTAAGTTGATTCGTGGTTGGGAGCATTTTCCTCGAAAAGTAAGAGTACCCGCCCCGCCACACGGACCGTGATAGATCGAACTCTCAGTGATCGGCAGCCATTTAAGTTCTTTTGATCATCAAGATAAATAAGCGTGGAAAAGTGAGTCTATGAAAACAACGATGCGGACTACTTTCAAACTATCACTGAAACCGCGTGACACATCTTGATCTCAGAGTCAGACATGCTGTAGCCCGCGT